CTGTAAAATGGAGAAAATGCCTCTCCTCCGGTTGCTGTGAGGGTCACATGGGCTGACTTATGATAATAAGTGACTTGCATGTTGAAGGCATCTAAGAAATGATGACTGCTTTCTATAGTACACCCAGATATGGCCTCATTGGGTCAGGTTTCCTTCTGTGATTGAGTGGAACATTCCCACAGGGCCCTTCCGGCTTTAAACCATTGAGGTTCTGTGAAGTGAGGAACAGGTCCTCCTGAGTTCCAACCCACAGAATATTTATTGCTTGGATAGAAATTAAGGCCCCAGCTATCATTTGGGAAAACCGATTATCAGATTTTTTTTTTTTTAACACATACTTTTATAAGCTCTGAGAGAAATGAGAAGACTGAGGTTTTCTGGGAACAGACAATGTTAACTCATGAAACAGACCAACACAAGAAGCTGTTGCACTTTATATTTTTAAAAAGAGTAGGTTCTAAAATACGTGGAAAAAATTTCAAGACTCTAATTGTACCCTTGATGAAAAGGAAGGCAATACAGTGGATATATTACAAATTTAGGGAGAGGTTTGTTTTAAAACTGCTTTGTTAATCCCTTACCATTTCCCCTCCTCATCCACGGACCTCTTTCTTTGCAAAGCTTATCTTAGGTATCCTGCTTGGTCCTGGACATGCACAGTTAATTCGGACATGTCCCTGCCCCATGGGAACTGACAGGAGGCTGTGGTCAACACAAAGGCTGGGGGGTTCCATGGGGCAGAGCCCAGCTCCCACACAGACTACTCTCCCACCTGTATCCTTCACAAGACCCAAGTGAAAGCCTGCATTTCCCCGTGCACATGCCATTACTAGGCAGCTATTAAAACTCTTGGCCCACTCAAGCCAGGACTTAAAGAATCTTAGACTGTGGAGGCATAAAACCCAAGGGAGCAGTTGCCCATTATTCATTCCAGAAGCCCACCACAGTTTTGATTCCAGTCGGGTAAAATCATTAGCATTTCCCCCACGCTCTGCCTTTGGAAAACACAAATTTAGGGTATGTGAAGGATTGGTGGAGATTTTCAACCCAAGGGATGGAAAAAGAGAACCTTCAAAATTGTTAAGTACAAAAAGAGAATTTATTATCATTTTTAAAAGTTTTAGATTTTTACTACCTTTCTTAGAAGTATTTGGGATGATTTCCATGATATAGGTGTAAAATAGATCTGTCCTTCAGTTACTAGTTGCTCTAATTTGTTGCTTTTATTGATTTTAGCCTCTGTATAGTGTCCTTTTAAACACATTCTTAACAACTCTTCAGTACAAAATAGTATTTGGCTCTTTCAGCTCTTCTGAATGGTATTACTGGATCTGCTTTTTGACTGGCATGCTTTCTCATAGGTGGTGTAGAAATGTTTTTTCCACAGGTAGGCTGTGGGCATGTTGGTCTTACCGTGGCATCTTGGCTTGACAGTTGTGGTGGTGGTTTGCTATGAACAGGGCTCATCTCTCCTGCCTGCTTGTACTGCCTCCCTGTACCTTCTCTGCTCTCTTGCATCACTGAGGAATGGCCAGCACAAATGTCTCTTCAGAGATCAGTAAGTTTTAGACCTTCAAGGGACCTTAGAAGTGACCTCCTTTAACCTACTTCTTTGACCTGATAATAGGTAACAGGCCTAGAGAAGCTATGGGATTCACCTAAGGACCTTCATTAGTTAACAGCAAGAATTAGAATTAAAAAAAAAAGTTTCCTGAATCCCTAAGCTTAAATCAAATGTTTAGTAAGAACTATACCTCCCTTGGTGGTATTTTGTATGGCACTGGAAGTTTTCAAGCTATTTGTCATTTATTTGGCTAGTTTTTAGAACACTGTGAGCAAATTGGTGCGTTCTCAAAGTTTACAAAGTAGAAGTCACGTGTGGCATTACAGATTTTTTTTGAAGTTGTATTATATGATTAATGGAAATGTGGAAAGATAGAAATTGTCTCTGTTTCAAATGACTAGAAGTAACTTGCTTTTTTTAGTACTTTGAAATAAAAACCAAACATGAAAAGTTTTCGTTTTCTTAAAAAGGTATATATCTTTCATATTTATGGCCAAGAATATAGAATACAGGGATTACAATTGCTGTAGTAAAACTAGGTTTATGATTTATAAAATCAAAACATGAGCTTATGATGTAGGAGTCCTGGGCACTGCTCCTACAAGAATCAGATCTGCAACTGATCCCTGCTGTTTCCGTGGCTTTTAAAACAGATACATTCCTGTAGTGTGGGAGGGTGGCTGCACCTGGCATTAAATGGCTCTCCCCAGCAAGCCATTGTTTTACCTACACTTTCTTTGAGATAAATAGGATTTGGGTGCTGGCTCCTCTCGCTTGTCTCCATGCCCTGCTAAGCTTGGTGTGCAGTGGCCCGTGGTTATTAAAATCCTTATCACCACAAGGAGTTGATCATGAGCCATAGTTATTTTCTGGAATTAGAAAGGCCTGCTGAATTCAACAAGTGACTCAAAGATAGTCTTATATTTCCTAATAATTAAAAGTGTGATTAATACCAGCAATTAGTTCCTGTGATTTAACTGTTAAAAGCAGGAATTCAGGAGGTAATGCATAGGTGAGCAAGGTAAGGAGCCATAGGATATAATTTAAATTTCAGTTCCTCAGACACCAGAAGAGTTGGCCCGCATAAGATAAACTCCTTTTAATGCCGTGAAACTAAATGAGACCATAAATGGGCCACCTTCACAGACTGTCTACTGTCTGGGTGTGGCTCTGTGCCCTTAAATGGAAGGCAAGGGTATTCTTGCCCATCAAACTGGGATTAGCTAGCACCAGGAGACCTTGAGAAGATTTCTCATTCTGCTATGCGGAATTCAGCTTTTTCAGCAGTTAAGGAATTAAAAACACAAGGGACCTTGTTTCGTTCTCCTGGGGCAGCTGTTTTTAATTTTTTTGCAAAATTACCTGATGGGATTGCAGCTAGAATTGAGGGCTGATAGGTAACATTTGAACTTCTTCCTAAGGCTTAGTTGGTTTATTCCATATGTTCTGCATTTTACATTTTGAAATTTTAAAAATTGACCACACAATTTTGTGTTATTAGCTCTGAGTAAAGTAAGGTTTGTGTTAATTGGATAAGTTGTGATGTTGTTGGTAAGGTACCCTTTCGTTAGAGCTCTCTGGGGCAGTGGCCACTCAAAGCCCAGTTGTTCATCGATGGAGTATTGATTCTGCTGGAATTTCAAAAAGGATGCTATGTTGATTCCACTGAGCTGATTTTTGAGTTCTGTATCAAGAAAATGCATGGTCCATTTATATGTGTTGGTTTGTAATAAAGTTAGCTGCATAGGCAGAACTTTGCCTGAGTTGAGAATAATATATAGAATCCTAATTTGGAAACGGATTTATTCAGAAAAGCATTTTCCCACCCTTCCAACATGAAAGGGTCGAACAACCAGGCTCTTCTGTGCAAATAAGTAAATATGAAAAGAAGCCAGGTTATTATGAAAACCCAGGTTTAGCATTATTGTCTAATGGCTTGATTATTTCAAAAAAGTTTCTGTGGACATAGTTACTCTAAACATTGACTTTACGTGAAGCAGTCCTTATATTCTTCATCTTGTACGTACTTAGTTTTCTCTCACACATTTTCATCCTCTTGGCTGCCAGCCAGCCACAACCCATATGATGGTAGTAGCATTTCATTTTTTTATCCCAGGCCATTAAGTTAGGAATTTTCTCGCTTCTGAAGCCTTACAGCTGAATGTATTTATTTAAAATTAAAATGTAAACCTCACTTAATCCCAGCTGTTATGAGTGAGTAATTCTTCACATTTGGAAACAAGACTAACACAGCCATGAGTATCTAATCCAGGTTGGAGTAAGGATAGGGCCATCTCCTTTCTCCCCGCCCTCAGCCGAGGGAAGAAGGGTTCCCCGTGCTAACCTGTTCTTGATGGGTGGAGGAGGGAACACTTGCACTTCCAACCTTGGTGCATTCTCTTTTGGAGGACCACGTTCTGCCTGTGGAGGACACAGGTGTTCCTGACACACCCAGTTCTGGGTTGGCATTGGGCTCCTGTTACAGGAAGGGCTAGCATATCCATGTGTCATCTATGCTTCCAGGTCAATGCACAGAGACCTGTGTAATCCATAACAGAGCTGAAATAGGTGTCCGACAAAATCACAAAGCTGGAGGACTTCAGTGTCCCTATGTTTTTTTTTTTATTATTATTATGTTAATCACCATACATTACATCATTAGTTTTTGATGTAGTGTTCTATAATTCATTGTTTGCGTATAACACCCAGTGCTCCATGCAGAACGTGCCCTCTTTAATACCCATCACCAGGCTAACCCATCCCCCCACCACCCTCCCCTCTAGAACCCTCAGTTTCTCAGAGTCCATAGTCTCTCATGGTTTGTCTCCTCCTCCAATTCCCCCCCCTTCATTCTTCCCTTCCTGCTGTCTTCTTTAGTGTCCCTATGTTTTTAAGGGAGATTTTTTTTTTTTAAAGATTTTATTTATTTATTTGACAGAGAGAGAGAGCAACAGCAGGAACACAAGCAGGGGGAGTGGGAGAGGGAGAAGCAGGCTTCCCGCCAAGCAGGGAGCCCGATGCGGGGCTCGATCCCAGGACCCTGGGATCATGACCTGAGCCGAAGGCAGACGCTTAACGACTGAGCCACCCAGGCGCCCCTTTAAGGGAGATTCTAGGTACTTAGTCATCAGGTACAACATTGTTGCTAAGCAGCTGTTTACTCAGAATTCCATGTAGGTGACTTGCCAGTTCACTTATAAAGTTAGCTTATGTCTGTTTGAATACATACAGTATTCAACCAAAGTGTCTGGCCACCTTGTTCTGTGCTTTGCAGTTGAGCTCTGCCAAAGGGGAGATAAAGAGACATGGTGGAAGCTGGGCGCTCAGCCTGGTCTCCTCCTGCCCAGTGCGAGTAGCTCCATGTTCAGTCCTCCAAGATGCTGTGAGGAGTCAACAGTTGAGGCTTAATTGGTTTTAACTTTTTTCCCCACCTTAGGATGATGATTCCAGCCCTGCCACTCCAGGTGGGAATGCATCCTCCACTACAACGACCAGTGCCTTCACCATCCAGGAGTACTTTGCCAAGCGGATGGCGGAGCTAAAGAATAAGCCACAGGTCATAGCAGCAGAGCCTGACCTTGCAGAGAACCGAATAGAAAGAAAACGGGGAAAGAAGAGAAAGAAAGGGGCAAAAGATAAAAATATGGAGACTTACACCGAACCCCAGGCCAAGAAGAAGAGAGACCAAGTTGAACGGCAGCTCGGAGACCCTTGTTGGGATGAGAATTCTGGTGTTTCTGCTGAGGATGGAGAGGATTGTGTGTGGCCCCCTGATGACCAGGACATTACCCCAAAGCCCAAAAAAAGGAGAGAAAAAAAGCTACAAAAGCAAGTTGAGGAAGCAGTAGACGCTACATTACATGACATACCAGTGAAGAAGAAGAAGAAGAAGAAAGGTTCCGAATAAATTCTCTCGAGCCAGGGTCTTCCAGCCATTCAGCGGTCAGGGCCCTGCAAGTAAACACCTTTGGCCTGAAGTCAGAGCAGAGTTCACTCAAGAGAGTTTGTGCACATCTTTTGACATGCCTGTGGGTTGCTGAGTCTCGCCCTCTCACCACATTTTTCCCAACACATCCCTGGAGAACTTTCTGATGTCCCAAATCATGGCTCTCATAAACAAATAAATTTCTTTTTAGACTGTGAACCCTTCAGCCTGAGTGTTTACTCATATTTATTCGAATACATTGTTACGTGTGTGTAGGTGTCACAGTCTGTTTTTGCTCTTGATTTCCTTCAGTAACAACTGTGCTTCCTTCTCAAGGACTCAGTCTAATTAAAGGATTAAGAGGCAATAGTTTGAATTTACATGGTTCTTTCTGTTCTATAGCCAACCATACATTTTTGCCAAGCAGGTATTATATGATTATGTTCCCAAATTGGAGTGTTGTTTGGCTTAGTTTGGTTTTGATGGGGAGATTTTTTTTTTTTTTTTTTTTTTTTTTTTGCGAGAGAGAGAATGAGAGACAGAGAGCATGAGAGGGAGGAGGGTCAGAGGGAGAAGCAGACTCCCTGCTGAGCAGGGAGCCCGATGCGGGACTCGATCCCGGGACTCCAGGATCATGACCTGAGCCGAAGGCAGTCGCTTAACCAACTGAGCCACCCAGGCGCCCGATGGGGAGATTTTTTAATATCCTCTCTTCCACTGAGCGATGGTGGCTGTGTGTTCAGAGGTCTTCTCCCCAAGAAGACAAAGTTTACGAAGCAAGCTAACTCCGGGGACAGTTTAACCTTCCAGGTCTCCCAGGAGGCCTTTTAGCCAGCTAGCTGTTCCTCACGGAGTGTGGGCAGTCAGAGCTGTTTCCATGTGGTGGTGCTTGGGGATAGTCCCCTGTCGTGGGCTTGGCCTTATTTGTGATGATGAGGAGGTCCTCGGGAGGCTCAAAAATACTGAGAATCTAAGGTCATGAAATTAATTTCCTCTGGAAATCAGGCAGTTTCTAGATTGGGACTGCCTTATGAAAGTACTTAAAAGGATAAATATTGCATACATAATAAAAGGTATCTTTTCGTGCTGCTCAAACCACATGGCATCACCCCGTTGTGTTTATCCTGCCTTCTGCCATGCCCTGGCGAGTCTCCCTGTATGCTGGTTAATCTCTCCTTGTCCGGCTTGACTTCAGAGCCCTTCACGCCCTCTTTGGGACACAATGAAAAAGAAAATGCTTAAAGTTTGGAGGTCCGGCCCTATGGTTTTCCCTGCTTGTTTGCCCTCCTCTGCCTTCTTTCTGCTCCCCATCTATTCCCTCTTCATCTCTTTGCCCCTTTATTCCCTCTTCCCTGCTCTCCTCTTATTTTCAGCCCCCAGCTTTCTTGTACCCCCTTTTAGCTGCCTGCTCTCCATGCCCTCTTGCAGTTTGCACTGCTTGGCCCACTCTGCCGGACCTGTGACCGTAGGTGTGGGGGGCGGTGGGCTCTACGCCCTGATTTCGAGATTAGCACGGTCTGATGACCTTTGGCCCTTGATTCTCTCGTGGTTATACATTACATATGAACCATGGCCCTGACTGAGATGCTTAGAATTGAGAAAATATATGAAGAATGTTTGGTTTTAAGTCCCTTAAAGATTTTGAAGAGTGCTTATTGTTTAAACACACACATCCCACAGAGAAAAGTCATGAATTCAGAGCCTGAGGTCTGGTTTCTTAGTTTTATCTTGGCTCCCAGAATTTAGAATCCCAGGCTATGGTCCAGACTAATAAAACACCCAAGATTTTTAAAGTCAATTTTCTTTACAGAGGGCACATGCTCAAGTTATGTCTGCTTGTCCTATCTTGTCAATGAAACTAGAGTTCCAGAAGGGAGTCAGGATGTATGAAACCTAAAGGGAACTATTTTTTAAATATATATATAAATATAAATGAATATACATATATATAGTTTTATATATATGTGTATATATGTATGTTTATTATATATAGTCTTTTTTGCTTTTTATTAAACATAAAAATCAGTGCCAGGAGAATATACTGAATTGTGTGCAGGAGGAGGAAGCAAATGGGTATTTAGGAAGCAGATGCGATGCTTCTAGGTCAAATGGGGTGAAGGGGCCAGCTGGGAAGACCAGAGGCCAGAGGTGCTGAAGGGACGTTCTTTGGAATTCCAAGGCAATAGCACTTGGAGGGGAAATGCAGCTTTCATTGAGCGAGCCTGTAGACTATGATGAGATTATTTTAATGGGCTGCAGAAAGAACTTCTAAATGATTTCAATTGTCAACTGGGTAGACTGAGTAAAAGGCACACCTTCAGCAAAGAGCAGTGTGACCATCTGCTTTGAAGGACACAAAATCTTTATTTTCTCTAGACATTCTTAGCTTTAATTTTTCCCAAGTGCCTCTTTTTCAAGACACTTAGTTTTCTGGGTCTAAGTGGAAGTCAGAACAATGGAATAAGTCCTCTTGAGGACTGCATTTCATAGGCATATTTTAAAAATTGTTCACATACAAATCCTATTTTTTGCCTTAAATTATCTCAGTAAAAATATATTAATTTTGTATTCTTCAGTTCTTTCTTTCAGTTTTAAGAGGGAAAGTAGGTTCTCAGGAGATTTATCCAACAAGAAGTTTCCTAAATGTTGTCTGGTAGTGCCCTTCTTTCCTTTTTTGGTTAATTTTAATAGATAATAATTATTACAGTATGAAATCCTATGTGCCTGGCCCTATTCCAAGCAGTTTAAATAAATCAACTCATGTAGTCTTCACACCACCCAGTAAGATAACCATTATTACTATTATTCCCTTTTACAGATAAATTCTGTTTTATAAGAGGGCCTCTTTCAATTTGTATAGCTAGGTTAATGCTGCTCCCAGAGAACCAGATGATTCAGTCCCCTCTCTACCCTGGTCACAAACCCATGCTTCTTTTTTTGGTCCTTGCCTTTACCACATCCAGTTTCACCTGTTATTAGCAAAATTTTCTATTGCTGGTGCTCTTACTTTGCATGTCACTGTTACTTTTATTTATGTATTCTCAAGTTATTAAAAAAAAAAAGGCAACAGTTCACCCATTTCTTGCACTCCCACATCTTGCAACCACCAATCTGTTTTCTATATCTATGAGCTTGGTTTTGTTTTCTTTTTTTGTTTACTTATGGTTTTTAGATTCACATACAAGAGAGATCATATAGTATTTGTCTTTCTCTGACTTGTTTCACTTAGCATAATGACCTCGAGGTCCATCCATGTAACAACAAATGGCAAGATTTCATTCTTTTTTATGGCTGAATAATACTCTTTGTGTATTTATAAATTTCTTTATCTTTTCATCCATTGATGGACACTTAGGTTTTTTCCCTGTCTTAGCCATTGTAAATAATGCTGCAATGAACATAGAGGTGCATATATCTTTTCAAATTAGTGTTTTTGTTTTCTTTAGATAAATGCCCAGAAATGGAGATGCAGGATCATATGGTTATATTTTTAATTTTTTGAGGAACTTCTGTACTGTTTTCCATAGTAGTTCACCAGTTTACATTTCTTTCCACCAGCAGTGCACAAGGGTTCCTTTTTTTTCCACTTCCTCACCAACATGTGCTATTTCTTGTCTTTTTGATAATAGCCGTTCTAACAGGTGTGAGGTGATACTGTGATTTTGATTTCCATTTCCCTGATTGATGATGTCAAGCTTTTTTTTTTTTTTTTCCCCGTAACTGTTGGCCATTTGTATGTCTTCTTTGGAAAAATGTCTGTTCAGATCTTCTGCCTGTTGTTTAATCAGATTTTTGTCGTTTTCTCTTTCTTTTTTTTTTTTTTTCTCTTTTTGCTATTGAGTTGTATGAGTTGCCAGAGTTCTTTATATATTTGGGATATTAGCCCCTTATCAGATATATGATTTTCAGTTATTTTCTCCCATTCAGTAGGTTGCCTTTTCATTTTGTTGATGGTTTCCTTTGCTGTGCAGAAGCTTTTTAGTTTGATGTAGCCCCACTTGTTTACTTTTGTTTTCGTTGTTTTGGTTTTGGTATGAGATTTAAAAAATCATTGCCAAGATCTGTCATGGAGCTTACTGCCTCTGTTTTCTTCTGGAGTTTTATGATTTCAGGTCTTATGTTCAAGTCTTTAAGCATTTTGAGTTAATTTTTGTGTATGGTGTAAGATAGTAGTCCAGTTTCATTCTTTTCTGTGTGGCTATCCAATTTCTTCAATACCATTTATTGAGGATACTGTCCTTTCCCCATTGTATATTCTTCGTTCCTCTGTCATAAATTGATTAAACCTATATGTGTGGGCTTATTTCTGGGCTCTCTGTTCCATTGATCTGGGTGTCTATTTTTATGTCAGTATCATACAGTTTTAACTACTATAGCTTTGTTAACAGGCTTTAAAATCAGGGAGTATTTGCCTCCAGCTTTGTTCTTCTTTCTCAGAATTGCTTGGCTATTCAGAATCGTTGGTTCCATGCAAATTTTAGAATTGTTTGTTCTATTTCTATGAAGCATACCATAGGACTTTTGATAGGGATTGCACTGAATCTGTACGTTGCTTTGGGTAGTGTAATATGGACATTTTAACAATATTAATTCTTCCAATCTGTGAACGTAGAAAATCTTTCCATTTGTTTGGTCTTCTTCTATTTCTTTCATTAATGTCTTGTAGTTTTCAATATATAGGCCTTTCACCTTGGTTAAATTTATTTCCAGGTATTTTATTTGTTTGGATGCAGTTGTAAATGGGATTGTTTTGTTAATTTCTTTTTCTGATAATTTGTTATTAGTGGAAAGAAATGCAACAGATTTTTATGTATTGATTTTGTATCCTGAAACTTTACCAACTTTGTTAGTCCTAAGAGCTTTTTGGTGGAGTCTTTAGGGTTTTTTGTATATAATACGGCATCTGCAAATCGTGACAGTTTTACTTCTTTCCAATTTTGAGTGCTTTATATTTTTTTTCCTGCCTTATTGCTCTGGCTAGGATAAAAGTGGTGAGAGTGGGCATCCTTATCTTCTCCCTGATCTTAGAGAAAAAGCTTTCAGCTTTTCACTGTTGAATCTGATGTTAGCTGTGCCCTTGTCATATATGTCTTTTATTATGCTGAGGTATGTTCCCTCTATACCCACTTTTCTGAGAGTTTTTTTTATCATATTAAGTTTTGTCAAATGCTTTTCCTGCATCTCTTGAGATGGTCCTGTGATTGTTATCCTTCATTTTG